AAGGATTGCATTAGGAAGTGGTGGGTTTGGAAAGCTGTCAGTTTTGAAGGAAACCTAGAGAAACCTAAATCAGCTAATGAATCATAATCATTGGCCTTAGGAGCTATGTAAAGGAAGATTCCATGAGCAGATATTTTTTCCAGTGGAAAACACTTTTCTGATTTGCTTGCCTGGGAAGGGAGGGGGGAGTGCAGGTGGACAGGGTTCAGACGGAATTCAAACCCTTATTAAGGGTCCAATATTAAAAAATCAAAATAGGGTCCCCCCAAAAAATAGCATTATTCAGGACCATTTTTTCAATCATGGGGTCTGGAATAATGTTGGAAAAGTTTTGCATTATTGAAGACCGGTTTACTAATCAACATCCAACATTATTAGATTGTATTAGTATGTGTGTGTGTGTTCTTATTTTTGTTTTTTACTACTATTTGTTTTAAGGCAACGTTTTTTTAAATACGAGGAGAGATCTTTGACGGGGTGACGGTGAAAAAGAAACATGTCCCAGACACGAGTTGGGTGCTTCTCACTAGGTGTGTTTGTGTGGCTTAGTTTGCAAGCAAAACGTGCACAACATGTCACCCGCGCGTGCACGTCTACACCAGAGCCGAAAACCAAAGGTGGACCATGGAGAGCACCAGGGAGAACCCCAAAAAGGCCCATGAGAGGTGAGTGGTGTTCACAGGTGTTCACTGACGACCCCCTGACACCCTCACATATGGGTAGTTTGATTCGTTTCAATCATGTCGACTGTTCAGCCTGCTGGTAGGTGATGTTTTTCCCCGAACAACCCATCAGAACCATTCAACGAACCTTGACAAACCTGGGTTGTCACATGAATCGCAGCGTTGGGTAAAGGAAGGTTGTAACCCTATACCATACCCTATACTGTACCGCCCATACCCAGTAGTGTTTGTGCAAAAAATGCTTGAGCTGTAAGCCTCTTCAAAACTTCTCAACAATCCATAGATTCATGGCTGGCAAGATGTACTGATTAGCCTACATTGACCACCTCAAACAACTATATTCATATCATCAATGAATAGTTTATGCCCGTTTGTTTGGGATTTCTCAAATGCATAACCATGCCTATAGTCGGTGCAGGGCCCTTTAAAAGAAACTTACCATCCATGGACTGTGTTTGAGGGGTCAACTCTCTCCTTCAATCAATAATCTTATACAATGAGCACCTGACTATAGTGTGTATGCAAATATATATATATACAGCATAACTCTTCCAAAACCCATAACCCATCATCACCTATCATGAATCATGATGTGCCCCTGCGTCCGAGGCACCAGCGCCATGATCTGCGGCACCTTGACGGCCGTGGCCGTGGCGCCGTTCAGCGCACTGAGTCTGCTGGGAGCCTTCGAGGCGCCCTGCGTCAGTGCGGGGCTCCTGGCCTTTTGGCCACACGGCAGATGCCGTCCGCGACGCTGGACTGGGACGGTTTTCTTACTGTTGGATGGGGTGGAACGGAAGTTCGTACTGGTCTTCGGTAGGCCCTTTTGGTCGGAAAAGGCGCTTTTTTCCAAGGAAGATGCAAGGGAACCTGAAAGAAGACCTACACTTCCTGGACCACCTGTTTGGTCTTCGGATTTGGTTCTCCGAGTCTTCCGGGCCGTCGTAATCATCCACGGATTCCCATGATTCCAGGGAGTGGGGTCTGACCCAGGAATCCACCTGCCTGGGGAGTCCCCCCCAAAATGTGTGTGTATTGGAATAGGGAGGTTGGTGCTACTGCTCAAGAGGGGCTCGATTCCAAGGCTGGTGCTACTGCTGAAGCGGCCGCGGCGGACGGTGTTTCTGGACCAGGTGTGTAACTGGGCTTAGCAGTTGCTTTACGAGTTGCTTTAGCGGCCTCAAGACTGGAGTCTTTGGAAGTTTATGTGCCTTGAGAGAGATCCCGTTCTGAACAGCTAATTACAGGGTCCTAGCTACTTCTGGTCACAGAAAGGTCAAGGTTTCATGAACTTGTGGGCTGTCAAGCCTTTGTTTGAAGCACCAATTGTTATTTCAAGAGATTGACTTCCGTTCTAGAGGACTGTCAAAGATGGGGATTGTGTCCTCGCAACCTTCCCGCCGGCCAAGGTATCAACAAGGAGGATGAGGAGATGAAACATGAAGGTTTGGTGGACTCTGGGAGCACAAACTGTGAAACTGAAGCAGATAGAGGGATACTTATTATGGGACTATCCATTATACCGATGATGTTTCTCCCCTGACCATTCAGTTTCCCTGACCATTCGTGGTGGACGCATGGATTGGTTTTGGACATATCCCTTGGTCTCGTGCTTGCTATTTGAAAGGATTGATACAAGAGACTGGTCTCGTGCCGCCCGTGCTTTTCTTGGCTTCGCTAGGCGTTCGGTTCCGAATAGAAAAGCACAACACGACGGGCTGACCCCATCGCCCAAGAAGCTTTGAAGGTTCGAAACGCATTGTCAAGTTTCGATTTTTCGTGACATTTGTTGTTGTAATAAATTGATTGTGTCATGACAGGTTTGAAGGGTGTAGGTCTTTGGAGTGCAATCTGTTTGTATTGTATAAAGATCTTGGGTTTTGGGGAACCTTGCGGTTGAGTATTCTACCACCTACCACACTTCAATATAGGAAAACTAACCATCCCTCCGGCACGGCTCGCATCTCCGGATGTGATTCCACGAGGACCCTGCGAGACTCATTGAAATCCACATGTTATTTGTACACTTGGCCGTTACTGAGGTGTTTGTTTCTACGAGTCCACTCCTAATGCCGACAGTTCTTTTGTAGGCTCGGCTCGGCTATACAGCTTTAACATGGTGTCAGCTTAGGGGGAGAAGTGCAAGCAGCACTGGTCATGGGATTTACAATGATTTACACATCTAGACTGGTTGGGTGTTTCAGGTGTTTTGTTTGTTCGACTTTTCCTTGTGATGATTGATCCCATTCACCTGACCCATAATTCTTTATAGTGGGTTGAAGCCACCAGTAGACCATGCAGTCAGAAGCACCAACCAGTGGACAACCCCGAAGCGAGCGGCACAACCCGTGCCCTTCGACACACCGAAACGAGCGGCCGGAGCTTCACAAGTCTGTGGGCACGGCTCATGCGAGAGGTCTCCTGAACCTGCAGTACTGCCTTCGGAGTTGCAAGTCGATGCTGTTGCTCTGGGATCTTAGCTGCTCAGCTCTGATTTTTGGCATGTTTTTGCTGCATGTTCTTGTTGCTTTTAGTAAATCTCATGTTTGGTGAACCTTTCGAGAGACGTCCCCAGCCAACAAAAGCTATAAAGCTCCTCTCCCTATCGAAGGCAGCAGTCTGCAGCACCAACATCAGCAGAAGCATCATCCTCATCCAGCCACTTGAGTGCCAGCATGCTTCAAGTGCACGCTATTAATGACTGGGTTTTAGAAAGTGATTCTTCTGAGTTCGATTTCGGCCCCACTTTTGCTCCGGGTTCTTCTACGACTCAACTCAAACGGCCAGCCACCCAAGGTTCCGTGCGCGTTCCGTTCGGCCTCAAGGCCTCGATTTTGAGGTTATGCTGAAAGCCTTTTGCCGATCTTCGAAGTGGCTGGCTTCCTGAGGCGAGTAAGCTTGCGGACTTTGGGCGCCATACGTAAGGATTGCCGTGGGTTTTCCCTTTGAACGGGATTCCTGTTTCGATGTTGTAACCGGAGTTTGTTTCGCGGGGGAATCTAGGATCTTTAGATTCTCATATATATATATACGCTGAAAATGGCTGAAATCCATCTATTTGATATGCACACATTTTACAAATGGAATAATATGCAAACTCATGGCAGAGGCAGAGGTTTTAGAGTCCAACTCGATGGGTTTTATTATATATATACCCGGAACCCTGTTTTGATGGGACAAGATCATATTCTGGGTGGTTGGTGATCCAAAATAGAGGTCATTCAGTAGGTCGTTCATGTTCCAGGCACTCAGTCTACATGGTTACCCAGCAGTGTTTTCACTGGACCCAAGCCTTGAAGAGGTGGAAAGTAGGATTCACCTGGATCCAGCTCTATCCCGGACTCAATCCACATACCTTCTGAGAAGGTGGTTGGAGACGGTTGGTTTGTACGCTTTTGTTTCCAAGGAAACGGTTCGGGAGTCAGACATTCGTGTGCAGTCTCACAAGGTCTCTTTGGTGTATCCAATACATGCGGACGAGCACATGCCACAATAGGAAAATGCCCAGCGAGGCTTGCTGGAGCAGGACTATCCTGGAGATACCCCGCCCTCAGAACTCAGTCTTCCCAAGTGATTGGTAGCTTCTATTGGGTTTGCCTTGGTACCTTCCATTGGGTTCGCCTAAAAATCGTTAACTTGGGATTTGATCAAAGAGTTGCAACATGTGCCTTTCTGCAGCTTCCTGCAGCCGATCCCCTACACTTTGTACCACCTTTGCATACGATGTGTTATTCATTTAATTTAGTCTAAATGATTGATTTGCGTGCGTATTCAAACGTAACGATCGGGTATACCTCAGTACATATTAATATGTACCTTACGAAGTACGATATATATATAATTATATATATAAATATTACATATTTCACAAACTATATATATACACCAAGCATCACCAAGCGGTATATATATATATATCTTCTGACTGCTGAATCCTAACTATATAGTCAACAACTCCTGGGATCCAATTCGGTCTTCAGAGCAGAAAGAGCGGAATCCCAGAAGATGTCCTGCTTGGGAATCCATCGTTTCGTTTTGTGTCTACATTCTAAAACCGGCTTCTGCAGCAGGACCCTTGGTCCACCTTGGTTTCTGGGTACCGGACTTGTCTCCAGGAAACATGTGTTGGAGTTTGGTATAGACATGGTCAGTTATTCATGGTCACCACATGGGTCAGACCCTGACCATCCTCGATGTCCCGTGGTTCGTAGGGAACCGCGTTCGTCTCTTTGTCAGGCTCCACGAGGGGGAAAAGATCCATTTGGAGCCCTGCAAGACCGGAGGGTGGGGGGGGGTTGACCTGCAGGACAGTGGATCGGATGGATTGGATGGGCTCAGGTTGGCCCGGTGGGCCACGCCAAGGTTGAACTGATGGTGGAGGTCAAGCCACCAGGGTTTTCGTTCCGGGCTGAAACAGGTGCCATGACCCACAGCCATTTGGAAAAAGCAACATGAGGGTGAAGATTGACCAGTCTGGAATCCACATCCATGTCCCTGTGAACCCTCATCCAGTGGGATGGGACACATTTTGTTCCGTGAAGGACATGAGGCGCAGCATTTTCGCTCATTTCAACTGGTGGTTGGATGCATTTTGGATGGAGGGCACCAGTGTTCTGGCTACCATTAGCTACCCAAAACCATCAGAATCTTGGAGCCTGTCCAGTCTCTCAATCAAGATCACTCCAGTTTTCTATTTCTCTAATAAGATACCGAAACCAAGCGCCATGTTCAGCATGAATATAGCAAGCGCATGGGACTTGTTTTCACCCACCAAACCTGGTCAACGGGGAACCAATCTTGTTTGTCACTACCACCAAAAACATTGCTCACCAACTAGTTTTTGAAGGAAAAAACCTATGATGCTGTGCTAGGGCAATACCACGAGAATCCGTTCACGCGCACCAACGAACCGCGCGCACAACGAACCAAACCTTCCCCAACAGACATGGCCGCCAGCAACAGAAGAACGTCACGAACACAAGGACATGACAGCTTAACACGAGCCCATTTGCACCCAACTCCGAGGACATCCGTCCGACCATGTTGGCGCCTTTTTTTCTGGTGAACATCCTGGGAAACACCGCCATTGCCCCGCGGCGGGAGTGTCACAGAGGTGTTCGCGACGGTGGTCCTGGACCGAAGGAAGAGAGCTGGGGGATGCAGTGATGGATTCAGGATGAACAGGTGATTCTGTTGATTCGAAGTGGAAAGCCAGGTCTTATGCGAAAGACGCGGATGCACAAAGTAAATAGATTCAAAAGACCTTTCTTATAATTAGTTAGCCAGAGTTGGTAAAGATCTCATGGGCAAACTTCTTGGGGAAATCAGCAGCATTGGCAGCAGCATGCATTTCCAAAGGATCCTTGGTTTTGACGCTACTTGGTCCAGTGAAGAAGTGAATTTTTGGGACTCTGAAGACATCAGCAGTTCAAGGTGCCGAAGACATCCTGTTGAAGCAGGTCCAGCCATGCTATGAGGGGTGTAGGACCTAGGTTCAAGGGATTTGGAATCTTCAAGAATGGTCCGGTGTATGCAGTTGAAACATGTTGAAACACAGCCATCATGTTTTTCTCTGAAAAATGCTCTTGCGTGGAGTAATGATCTCTAAGAAGGAGGGCTAACAAAAACTCAACAAACGGTTTCGGAGTCCACAAAAGTGGTCTATGGTGAACATTTGCAAAATGGCTCCTGGCAGATGGTCTTGGTGCAGTGTCCTTTGGTTTGGCATTTCAGAAGGGGATGACAGAGAGTGATTCATGTGTAGCCCAGGTCGAGTACAATGGGTGCTCGAAACTCCACGTCCACACCTCTAGGGCAGCCCATCCAATGCAGCACCTTAAGAGCTAGGTACCAAGAGTGGCAAATCCTTTGTAGAGCCAATCTATGGACATCTGACGAGCTGGCACGAAGAGAGTTCCACCATGTTCCACCCAAGAATGATTTGAAGATCCCAAACCCTACCTGCCTCTTTCTTTGTTGAGGGCAATGTCACATGATTTCACTAAGAATGGGAGCAGTGAATCTTAGAGCTACCTGTGAGGTGAGGTGACTCATCACACATATAGATACAGGAGCCATGTGTATAGCCATGTGTCACTTCCATGTTAGTGGGAATTAGAGTTCTACAAAGTTGTTTTGACCAAATGTTTCTTCCCACGTGAGACACATGACCGGCTAAGGCTTTTGTCACACTCTATGTGACCTTCGACCACGACTGGAAGCTGTTTGTGGTGATCGCGTGCTTCATTCCCTACTTCATTGCCTGTGGCCTACTCCTCCTGCCACGAAGCAGCGCAGAAGTTGGGTGTTGTTTGGAATCCGATTCAGCTACCCGAACAATACTTCGAAGCCTCAAACTTGTGTCAGGGGACTTGGTCCAGACGTGGCCGGAACCTTTTGCGTTGATGACGAGTGAGATTGAGAGCCCTGTGTAGCAACCTTGAAACTATCCCGGACACTTGCAGGATATGCCATATATGCGGTAATGTAATAGGATGCAGTATGTATATATATATATATATTCCATTATAATGTCATACACTACTCAGCCTGGCAAACAGACTTTTGGCCACCTGAACATGCACCATACTAGAAGACCACCCAATCCTCGACCCACGCGCCCAATCCACGGTGCCTGCTGTTCCCAGCGTTTTTTCGGCGAGGTTTTACTTTGCCTCGGTGCAGAGCCTCAAAGAGCAGTTGACGCTTTCAACAGCACAACCGGCGCGACCCCCTTGGGGGTCGAGTTCGACGGTTTCGCTTCGGTGTGGAGCGTTTGGTGTGGTCGCAATGGAGCGACCAGCGTGTGTGGTCGCCCCAGTCGGAAAGGGTGAGCTGAACAGGTTTTTTCAAGATCCCGCGTCTTTGTTCACACCCAGGTCGGAAGGACAGAGGGCCCATTTGAGCCGGTCGTACGGTATTACGGTTCGTTTCTTTGACCAAAAATTACCAGGATAACCATGATCCCATGATATCCCATGAAAGACAAGGACAAATAAAAGTACAGTGAAGGCAGAACATCCGCCTGAAAGTAGAGTTGCAAAGATGTTGGTCCCCCAGACACTCCAGGGTCATCAATCATTCGTCGTGGTCATAGGATATGCCATTCTCTCTCCAGGTTGACCATTTGAAATTGGGCGAAACCGAGTTCCACAATCCCTGGGTCGAATGTTTCTTGGTGAGATGTCCATGTTCCACGGAAACTCATTGAAGACTCCATCACTTTTGCTCCATGTTCGACGGCATGGGGCGTGGGGGGTTCTTGCCCGCCTTACCCCTTTGGGATCCCTTTGGCGCCTTTGGCCTGTTCATGTTCCATTTCTTCCCCTTGAACTCATCACCACTTGCTCCAGCTGCGACAGCCCGACACCACACGGCCCAAAGCGGCCCCAGGAATCTCTTCAGCGTAGACTCGGTGCACTGCCAATGTTGTGGTCATGGCCATCGAAGTCGAAGTGGACAGGTGTCTGGCAGAGAACTGAGGTCTGCGAACCAGGTCCGCGTCGGTGTGCTTCGTGCTTTTCTCGGGAAAAACGAGGTCCGCCAACACCCACAATTTGTCCTGTGCCTGTAGGGTTGATGGTTTAAGAGAGAACTCCTTGTCTTGCCCTCTCAAGAACCACGTGCAACGACATCCGAATCCATCGTCTTAGCCAGTCATCCATGCGCTTAGATGTGACGACTCATCCTTGACTTCTCGTCATGGGCCATCCGGGCATTTGGTTCGGGGAATGAGTTCCACCAACCCAGAAACACACCGGCTTGTCATCGACCGCTCGGGCTTGTCATAGACCGCTCGGATGAAGACACCAAGCAGCAAATGGGATGCGTTGTGGGGAAGCAACGCATGCTCGGATGCTTGTGGACTCGACGACAGACGACGGACTGGTCGGCCATGAGGCGATCGAATGCGAGCGGAAGATGATTTTTCAAAGTTCCTCAGACTCTGCTCAGAGGGGGTTTTGAGGTTTGGGCACGGTGTGTTGTGTGTCTTTTTCCAAGCTGGAAATGGACATGTAGGTTGGCCATTGGGTATCAACTGTTTTTGCTTCCGTGCAACTGCAATTCTGTCCTTCACTGAGAGTGATCAAGCTACTAGTAAATTGATAGCCAAAAGTGAGAGGCCTGAGCACTTTTCCAGGGGGCACCCTCAACTCTCTTTGAACCCATTTTTCGGGCAAATCCTAGGGGAAAAACAGAGGGGAGGGGTCGTTCAACCCTCTTCAACGATTACGATTATGATTCGTCCACGAAAATGGGTCAGAGTCCAACAGATCTTCCAGATCTGGTCTAATCGGTAGGTCTTCACATGATGCCACCGTGTCCCACCATGATGCCACATGGTGAGCACCTGACCGTCGACAAAAGAGCACGATCGGTCCGACTCATACCATTGGGTCGAGCAATTTCTGGGTGTCCCACTATACAGTGACAGTGGCAACTTGGGCATTTGTAGGATATTAAAGAATACATATTAATGCCTCTGGCCTGTAACTGTAATACAGTAGCGGCCTTGTCCTGCGATGACCAATCTAATAGCATATTGCTGCAGTGTTCTAATGATATGTTCAGCGGTGTTGAACGTGGGGCTGTGGCTGGGGTCTGAAAAGCAATAGATAGCCCGGCCTCAATGTTCGATTTTTTGGCCTCTTGATATAACACGACGTTTCGGCAGACGCTCAAATGGGTATGACGGAACAAGGTTTGCATTACTGGTAACATCAGAAGCCTGGCCCGAAACGGAAGGGTTTTGAGGACCCGTGCCATGGAAGTACCAGAATGTCAGTACGTCAAGTGGGAACGGACAGAGGAGGACCTTCTGCCGGTCCCTGCAACAGACTTTGCTTGTGGAGGCTGCCAGGGGGGGGGAGACCCATTGGTGAGCTAGCTCGGTGAGGTTTGATTCAGAAAGAAACCCAAAACCAGCTGGGGACGCTGGGGAGGGGTTTGCTGCACGGTTTTGTTTTCAATTGAAGTGACGTTCATCTCTCCTTCATCGCTTCTCAACTCTCAAAGGGCCTCATAGGGCCTTCAGGTGGAAGACATGTCTCCTCCCACTGAAACGAGGCATCAGCATGTGTTTCGGCTCTCTGGAAGACTTCGAGCGTTGCCCAGCGAGCCGGGCCGGTGGGCACGTCGGTCGCTTTTTTGGGGGGCGGAGGGAAGCAATGGAACGCAGACACTCCATGTAACGCACAATATGTCACAATATCATACAATATCTATAGTAGTCTACTAAATTATGACATATATAATATATATATATATATTATATATTTACATGGAATGTGGTTTGGGTTAATTAAGGCATATATTCCAGATGGAGTTTGGGGAAGAGAGGTCGAAGTGTGGTGCGGTTTGTGGAATTGGGGAAGGGCAACTGAAATCATCATGGAAGTGGAGCATCATTCAGCCCCTGACTGGAAGACCGACAGGTGGTTTTCCATGTTGAAGACTCAGAGAGTATATATTGCGCGGGTATGTCTGGGGCTTGGTTTTTGGCTTAGTAGGACCCATGGATACTCCTGGATGTTGTTGCTGCTGGGCTTTATGCTACTCTTGACCGTGAATGTTCGGAGTGTTGCAGCAAGTCGATCCAACAAGGGCTGTTCATTCAGAGGGTCTAGAGAAACGTATGCCAACCACATATCCACCCCAACAACGGGCCATATACAAGCCTCTTGGAGCTGCATCAACTATTGAACTGAGCTCTACCTCAACGCAGTTGTCTTTCAAGATGACCACGTGAGAGTTTTGTATAGAGATCCACGTTCGAAAAAAAAAAAAAAAAAAACAATGCGATCCTGCGCTTTTTCAACATCTTGGAATCAATGTTTCAGAATAGGAAGACCCTCCAAGCACTGTGCTTGAATTAGTCGTTGTTTCCCCTGAACAGGGGATCTAAGCAGGGGTGGCTCCCTGTTTGAATACACACTCTTTTAAGCAAAAACAACTCAGCCTTCAGCTCTACAAAGCGTTTGGTGCAGTCCCTGTAAGGTGTTTTTGTTTCTTCCAATGTTTAGGATGCGGCTTACTTTTTGTGTAGTTGCAATGTAAGACATGTATCACAGATAGGGTCTATAGGAGTTTTCTGGTGTCTCTTTGCATGGTGGTTCGCCTCCACCACTGGCAGCATTCGGGGGATGAGCATGTCAACATTTGTCAGTGATACTGCTGGGTGAATCCCGCAAATCTATTTGCCCTCGCACTCCCTGGAATCATTTGTTTGGAATTTCGCATTTCATAGGTCATTTGACATCGGGGCCGCCTTCCATGTAACCCATGTCTCTGTAACTAGACCGTATATGGAATGTCTAATATGCCTTTGGGTTGTTTACCAGTACTTAAGCTAGTAGGCATATTTACCAGTCATCAAGTACTTAAGGGGTATGGAGATGGAGATCGTGAACCCTTCCCATTTCCCATTTCCCCTCCCGACGGGCGCACTCAAAACCCGCTCGGTGGCTGCTCGGCATGACGTGAGGCGGTCCGACGACTGAGGTTACGTGAGCAACAAGGTCTCGCGTGCCTTTGCGCAGCGGTTAGGGAATTTCCTTTGTCAGTATTGGATGGCGGCCTGGATGGTATCAGGGGAGGGAGACGGAAGGAGCGAGCTGAGCAGTGCTTTTTATTTGGCTGAAGGGTTCTTAGAATTGACTAATTAGAAGATGTCCAGTGTCCAGCTATTCAAACCCAACAGATAATATGGTCCAAGATCTTCCCCAGCAGTCCTATAGGTTTCATGCTTCAATCCGCCCTTCGAAATCACGTGCTTTTGCTTAAGGTGATGTTTACTTGGCCAAAATCCCTTTCTATGCAGGACATATATGATACATTTACTTAAACCTCAACTTGTTCGTTCGTTGGACAGCCAGCTATAGCTCCCTCAGCTCCCGGACCTCTCAGGTGGTGGTCCTGGGCGCCCCGGTCTTTTGGGGTGACTTGGATTTGCTGAGCAATGCCTGGCGACAAGACGACCAGCTCAAGGCCGACGTCGGACTACGGCGATGGAGTGATGGACCGATGCCGCGCAACGGCGCGCGTTCGGACGTGACCTGAAAACGGATGAACGTCCTGGTCTAAGAGGTAGACTCTTGACCTCTCATATCCGTCCCGATTGAAGAGTGTTACACCTCTTCATGTGTTTTGTGTGTGTGTGTTCAATCAAAAGTCTACATTATGGGGGTTCTGGAAGAGTGTTCAATGGAATTGAGCGGATGTTTCTACGCAGAGGACCGGCAATTTGCTCCTGCACCAATGCTAGGATCATCTAGGATCCTATTCAACTGAAAGGCTGTTCCAGGTCATTATTCATCCGTTTCCACATGTTTATCTATTCCATTATCCAATAAGGAGCAGAAGGAGCTTGATTTGTTATTGTTTTACCATGTGGATAAGAGAAACATCTAGACCCTGAGTTCTCCCGGATGCATATTATCCTGTCCCCGTTCGGCACCTACTTTTCACCATCACTACTCTTTTGGCCAAACATCACCGTAGGCAAAGTCCTTGTGATTCCACATGAGGTGTTGTACATGGGTGGTGTACGGCGACCTAAGAGAATCCAAGAACCTACAGGTACTGGTACCAGGCCAAGGGGTGCCCTGTTTGGAAGTCTATAGGTAGTGTGGGGTAGTCCATTGGACACCCCTTGGAGGGTCCAGGTACAATCTTGTACTCGGCATTTGATCACCTTCACGTCTCCTTCCAATCTCCACAGATCTCATCCATCCACCTGTGACCTACACGGCAGCGTGAAAGGCATCCGGTCCATCACACGTCCGCCTAACCCGTCGCAGCGTGCGGGTTCAGGCAGGGCTCTTGTTGGCCATTGGCCTCAGCTGGTGGTTGGCCATCATCCCTGCTGCTTACGTCTTGTGCCTTCACTGTGTTTCTATTTTCCCTAGGGCTCCAACCATATCCTCAGAAGAAGGTGGTTAACCCCCCCCCCATACCCACCCTAACCACCTTCTCAGGAGGTGGTTGGAGCCCTAGGGTTTTGAGCAGAAACAGTTGTCCGAACAGACGGATGACATCAAGAAACCTGTGAGAAGTTCATCAGTCTTCAGCTGGTTTTGTAATCAAAGAAATCACTGAAGCAAATCAGCTGGTTTGCTATAGCACACCATGTGGTTTTTGTGGTGGTTCTCCTTGGTCTTCTTTCTAAACCTTCTATGAACGACCGGCGGAGATCGAGGACGGGATCTGACAAGTCGACTGCGCTATGTGTCCGGCCCCACCGAGGATTTGGGCATTTGGGAGCATTTTCTGGTTCATCCCCACCAATATCCACCAATTCTTAAAAGATAAGTATTCTTAAGTGCCAATGAGGGTTTGTTTATGATAATGCGGACAATGAGGGTTTGTTGGAATGGAACGGAATACTCCGCTGTCCTGCGGCCCCCTGCCCAGCCTTCTGTCCACGAAACGGGGTTCCGCGGGTGCTCCAGGTTCATTGCGCTGATTGCCAAAAGCCAGCGGAGGCAAAAGAGGAGGACCCAGAATGTTGGCGGTTCCACCCATCCAAAGCTTTTGAAGCCACCGGTTTTAGAGGCATGAAGCTGTTATGGTTGAAAGAAAGACAGGATTAGCACATAATTAGCACCGCGCCACCAAGAATCATTGGCCTGCAACAAACTGGAAAAAGAGTGGCTCAATTTGCTTTGGAGGCTCCAAGAGTGGTACAGGTCCTGTCTTTCTTGGATTCAACCAGCCCGGTCTCCTACGGGCACCGGGTTAGAAACTGCTCAGCTCCACCAGCTGTTCCCAGTCGACTAAAGGGCTCGGCTCCAGGAGCTGGAGCTAACTCCGCCGGAACCAGCTTGGTAGATCGTCTCGAGTGAAGACGCGACAAAAACTTGGGAGAAACTCCTGGAGTTTCTTTAATCTATAAATCTCAAAGGGTGTAGATCGACGTCATCCCATCTACAAAGAGGTGGCGAACAGGCCAACTAAACCAATCAGAACCAATCAGAGCTGTCCACGCGCCAGGATTGGCCTTGTCCCGAAACTTTGCTGGCGACTCCTACCACCCTGTGCGTTGATTGCGCTTCTGTCAACGGCAGGGCTCTACCAGAAGTTTTGTCTCAAGTGCCCCAGCGGAAACCAAGTGCCCTTTGCGGTGAACTCGACACAAAACAAACGGATTGCATTTGCCATGTGTTTAAATGTCAGTTTGGCTGAAGCTGCTGTTGGGGTCTATTCTAATCACCCACACATCGCCAAACATCTAAAGATGTGTTTTGGATTATTTTGGGTGCTATTTGATTTTCCATCGGTGTGGAGTTGTCGGGTGAAGGGATATGGGATGATATGGGTGTGTCGTAAAACAGGGAGACATCCCAATGACCTCAGGAAGAAGGAACATGACAAGACCCATTGGTTGAGGGTCAATATACATCTGATGCTGCTCCACTTGGGGAGGTTCTCCCTGCAAACACGTTTTGGTGCAACCAATGGGTGGTCCGGTGCATTCGACAAATGTTTTGCTTTCAACGAACAAGGGATTGAACCACTGTAGAGGTTGACAGCAGGAAGAACATGTTCCCACCTACCCCAACCAGAAAGCCCCAGAGAGTTTTTATCGAGTTTCCACAACCCAAAAGATGGCTATGGATGACCTAAACAGGTGATCCAGGTGCCAGGTAAACAGTGCTGATTTACCGTTGAATGTTGAATGTGCTGATATTTCCGAGGACGTGAACTTCAGAACGACCAACAGGTCATGAATATGCAAAAAGGTACCCACATAACAGACAACGAATGTTCGCAAGTGCACGCTTGCCAAACACGAAGAGGTCTCTTGGCAAAGGGGATCTATTTCTGGTTTGTTAAATTCTGGATTGTTCAGAAAGAATCCAGGCACGTCGCAACAAGGTGGTGCATCCAAGTGGGAAGGTGAAAAGTGTCAGTGAGGTTCTATTTCAGGATCTTCAAACACCTGCTCATGTGTTTTTTTCATCTTGAGGCCTAGCAGAAGTGAAGTAGAGCAAGATCAACTCTTGCGTCCCAAAACGGCACCGGGTCTCTTTTTCAACATGCCAACAGCTCTCTCTTTCAGGTGCATCACCAACCAAGTGCTGGGCATCGGCATCTTCGTGGGAACGCTGATCTTGCCCTGTTATTTGACCCTCGTCCATCACGAGAAAACTCACGGGAAACGGCAACTGCATCGCTCCTCGAGGACGGTCCGCACTCGTCGGAGAGAGGGTGAAAGGGGCTTTCCACCAGGACTCCTGCTTTGGACAGGCGACATGGTGGGCCTGTCCCTCACACCGTGCTTTTTTTTGTGTGTTTTGTTCTTTTTGGGGGGGTGGGGGAGTGGGGATATAAGTGTATAGAGATGTGACAGCATGTACTTGATTCGGATCATGGGGAGCATGGGGGTTCTCAAAAAGAATCCACCTTTTGGAAGCGAGTCATCCGTGAACAGATCGAATTGGAGGTTTTGGCTTCTTTCGTGAACGTGGAACAGCGAAAGAACTCTTTGTTTGGACACGCTGCTGTTCGAAGCCTCTTCAATGGTTAGGCCCTAGTAGTGTCTGATCGCTCCGTTCGTAGCGATGCCAGGAGCCCCTAGTAGCGCTCTTGCTCCCAGTAGTAAGGCTTACAGTAAGGCCAGGAACCCCGAACGTAGCTTCTTGTTCCTGGTCAAGAAAACGGAGTGGACATTTAACACAAAACTCAGCGCGGCTTGTCGGGTCCGAAATGGAACTTTTGTCCATACGGCTTTGCCCATGTGGATCGTTCGAAAGATGAACATCTCGTCTTTCAACCTTACACAGTAGTGAGCAAGCTCCAGGTGGTCATGATTTGGGGGTCCCAGTAGTGTCAAACTTCAGTACTAAAGTGAATGCCGAGTTCGCCGAGTTCGCCCAACCAAACTGTCCGGCTATGAGAGGTCCCTATTCACATCGTGAGGATCCGCCAGGGGATCCATGGCCTACATTTAGGTGGTTTCTGGTGGTGAATGTAGGTCATATTTTTGCCACCATGGATCGTTTGAGATGCCAAGTCGACCGGTGTGAAAAACCCTCAGCAAACGGTGGGCTCATGACACGAACCGGCAGCCGAGCCAACTTGATGTTATCATTTGGTGACAGGAGGTTTTTGGGGGTCTGGTCCCACAGAACTAAAACCAGAACTATAGAGATCATGGTTGATTAGAAAGGCGTGTTTCCAACTAGGGCCTAAATACTGGCAACATCGAGATTGAGATTTGCTAAGAGATTTGCCCCTGAAGCAACCAACAACACGCACATTGACAGGAAATCAAGATGGCCACCTTTTTGTTTTGCGATATCGTCATCGTTTGTCCGGAATCTCAAGGATTTGGCGCGCCTCCACCAAGAACACTAGCATGTTTGGCCCCCGCTGCGACACTGGACGCCATGGCCTGCATCCTGGATGATGCTGAGGCAGATGACATGGAGGAAATACACGCATGTAGTAGGGCATGTTGAATGCGCGAAGAAAACTCTATGAAACAACCTTATTGTAGACTGGAACCTGATTGAATTAAGGTTTTTCTGGAGAGCACGTTTTGTTTTGGTGGAAAGCACGCATTTTGTAATGGTTCGAGCATTTTGGAGGCGTGTTCAGGTGAGCAAACGAGAGCAAACGAGAGTTCGTTGAGTAGTATTCGATGGCCTGTTGCACCTTGGCTGCCAGGGTTCTAAGGGTCCAAGAGCGACCCTTCAAACAGGGACCCCAGCCACGGACGGCAGACGAGCAGACTGATCTGGATCGGTCCTCGATCAGTCAGATGTAATACATCAGATTACATGGTCAATGAATGATACCTGAAGATGATTGATCATGAAGATGACACATGATGGGAACATTGTCAGCTTGTGAAAGATAAACTGTTGCCAGTGCATACAGTTTTTGTAGATCGAGATGAGCCATGATGGAGAGATATAACGGGACCAACGAGACAGGCTTGACATGATGTCTCTTTGCAACAGCATGTTTGCTATCTTAAAAACCTCGTTGTCCGTACATGGTCTTGTGATGTCTTGTAGTACCAACGGGTTCGTTCAATAAAGTAGTTGCACACTGGACCACACTCACTACACCCCAACTTGTTGCCGTGATCCAACGCCCTGATGGGCGCGAAAGAAGCGTCCGTCGCCGGACTGCTCCGGCCGACTGATCCGGTTGGAAACAGTGGGAGAAGCACCGGCAGGGTGAAAGAGGCGCAGAGCTGTCGCAGTGGCGCTGTGGAGCGAGATGGAGTGAGAATCCTCCACTTTTTGTGACAGCAACTCAACAGGTGCTTGAGTTATGCCTCCAAAGTCATCTAATTACAGTACTAATAACTACATTTTTGATTGTTCAATTCGCGGAATACAAAACATGAATCTGTCATCCCCTCATTACACAATGAGGGACACAGCTTCTTCGTCAATCAGCAGCGTGATCTAGTGATTGTTTTCTTTGGCATTGTTCTATATAAATTTTGGAATAGGTCGGGTTTTGCCTAGAGTCATGTGATGTCACGTGCATATTGAGGTCCACCACAGCTTTAGTGTGCACTCAACTGTTTTCTTTTTGGCATTTCGGCAAGATGCATGTGATGGATGGTGTTCAAGTATAACTTAATATAATATGTTGGCTTTTTCGATGGGTTTGGAGTCCGAAGGGTCTAGAGCGCCATCCCTTGTGGGTCCAAACACACTGTGTTTGGAGCTCCTGGAAGGGTAAGCAAAAAACAGTATGGTCGTGTTGGTGCGTGTATTTGTAAGATTTTGTAAGCGTAAGACTAGTGTAAGAACATGCTGCTGATGCACATATTATGCACATGTTTGTATTATATGTTTATGTTTGTTATGATAGTTGGTGCAGTCAGGGATTTGGTGTTCTATTTCGACTGATGAGTCCTACATGCACCCCAAAGAACTTGGTGTTCTGGGTGATAGGAGGAACCGTATATATTTTTAGCTGGTCATATCTGGGGCAGGATCAGACCCATATCTCTAGCTGGCCCAGGCCGGATGCTGGTGGAGATGCTAATGCACGCCAGGCAGCGAACATATCGTCCACGAACTTCCTCCATTTTCGTCAGATTGGTAGATTGACCTTGTGGGTTTTGTTGATGCACCAGAGCTTGCAAAGTTTTGTTATTTTGTTTTTTTCCGCGGGGGTGGGATTGTCAATGGCTTCCCATCATACACGGGTACGTGATTCGCATTTATTCGCTCCTTCCCATTCTCTTGCTCCTTGGTTTTAGCACAGCCAGAAATTGCTTGAAGAAGGGTGACGTTGACATGGCCATGGAACACGTCCCGAGCTTCCTGGTGAGTTTCGATTCGGACCCACCATCCACCACCGAATGGGTGCTTCGGCTGTTGACCTTTCCCTTCGTTTTCGTTGCAGGTTCCTGGTGTCCGAGAATGACCCAGGCCAACACACCGTGCTGGACACCGCGGGTTAGCTAGCGGACCGGCTGGGGTGCGTTGGAACACTGGCGCACGCCGTGCCATTCCGTCGGCGCCTGGACATCAATCGTCTCCAAGGAAGCGCTTCTCAAAAAGTATGTGGATCCTTAATATTTTGGGGATCAAGCAGAAGGCTTTGCAGATGTTGTTGTATGTTGTTTTTTCAGGCACCATTCACAAATCCAATAGAATCCCAAAGTGAATGTTCTTCCCTCCCATCGTGTTCATGGCCTCCCATCCATGTGTGCTTCCTCCGTTTGCACCGAGCCTCCAGAGTCGGCGCGATGAGGACGAGACGAGGGGTGTTTGACGCCGTTCGCGGTTCGGCCAACCAACACTGCTGAGAGTCTTCTCATATGATAATTAGTCATGTCATATCTCATGCGTTCCTGATTTGACCCGGTCATGGCAAAACTGGGGATTCATTAAGCAGGTCGTGGCTCAACCAGTAGCAGGAGTAGCAGAGTCATCCACAAGTTATATTGTAAACATATACCAGGACCTTCAAAGTGACCTTTTGAGATCCCAGCTTGAGGTCACTTAGTCCATAAAGAGGCCACTTACAGACTCCAAAGAGGTCACTTTGAAGGTCCTGGTATATACTGTATAAAACATCTCTGTGCGATGTTCGGGGCATGCTCCTGGAGCCCGAGCCCTTTGGAGACCATCCTGCAAGGGGTCAACTGGACGAAGAGCAGGTACCGTATCCATCTACCGGTGCAGTACAGTGATTCACATCAGTTTTCTACAGAGGGTCCAAACATTGTTAAGGTCTATAGGGTTTGCGTCCTTGGATTGTAAGGAGGGAGCATGTTTGGCTTTTGCCACCGAAACACCTTGCAGCAGTTTTTGTATTTTTGGTGGAGTGAAGCTTTTCTTTCTCACGGTTGATCAGGCTCTTAGAAGGAACAATACTTGCGTTGAAGAGACCAGGGCATTCGACTCAGACCAGGGCACTTGAATGTTAAATTAAACCAACACAGCCCGTGATACATGTTCAGTGATCCCTGAATCCAGGAAAAGAAACACATCCTCAGACAGTCAATTGGAGGTGGCTCAAAAGGTAAGACACACTAAATACTCGCTGGTTGAACAGATCAATGTCTTGATGGTCGTGTTGTACTACTTCTCAGTCACAGTCACTTCCCTGCCCGCTACACTTAACCCTGGCCAGGCTGGAATGGCCCCCGGTGACGTGATGCACGTCTCACCTGCGGGTGCGAAAAGGACTTCTGTGCGGTCGACCTGTGGGGTCAAATCGTCTCATTGGACGGGCCATCTCCCAAATCCGCCATCGCAATTGATCAATACAAGGAAATCCTATCTCAAAGTGAGCAATGATGCTTTGTCTTTCTTTCCCAGCCGTGCCTTGATTTTTTCCCCTTATCAAGTCATGCAGCTTGGAGAGCGCCTTAGTTTTGGCTTTGGGGGCAGAGTCAGACAATTAACTCATATTAAATCGAGGACTGAACGATGGTGCTCAGTAAAGTACTGTACAGTAAATGTTCTCAATGTGTTATGGTGGTGATGGTGCTCTATACTATCAATAAAGACATATTTCCAGAGTTTCTTCAAAAAACAGTCCCTTCTTGATCCCGAATGGGAGCCTTGGCACATCCCAGGTCCCAGCCGGACGACTTGTGGTGAGTTCTTCTACAAAGGAACAGGAACGCACCAAGCACCAAGAGCTCTATGATTTGCACAGGTCTCAAATCGAACGCAGCATTGCTACGGGAGGCGCCTCGGGGAGCTTGACCAGCGAGCAGCTGCAACCCTTCGTCGAGGCGCGAGGCCGCAGGATGGCCACGTCCACCGAGTGTTTCGCGGTTTGTAGAGGTGCCATGCGGGGGGCCTTGTGGGTTTAGTCTGAATTTCAATAGATTGGAACATCATGCATGAAGATATTGGACACGTTTATGTAAACCATCAATTCACAACTGCCACCGTGCCTGGCGAAACTCTCGCGCACGATATCATCTCAGCAAGTAGGATCAAGTGGGGTAGGTGTTTGTTTACACGGGAGTGATTTCGTGGTAGCCAAGCTACCTGATGGTTTTATGCAAAACTCCTCGCACCTCTCACTTTGCCTCGCCAAGGCAGGTAGCTCCGTTGGGGTTTGGTCCCGACTCAACCACAAGCAGCTTGGAGACCCAGCGCTTGGGGTGCAAGACCCTGCGGGTCAAAAACTGTCTGAGCCGGAGAACTTGATGTTGATGCGAAGCCTTTCGGCCGATATAGACACTGATCACCGATATAGACACTGACATGATGAATTTGAAAGATTCCGGTTTCTTCGACATTTGGGATCTTGGATTTCCCGGTTCGATATCAGACGTGGAACCCCCCAAAGACTAATCTTGGGGTTTGAGCAGCTGGGGTGACCAGAATCCTTTGGTTGAACATGTTCGAAGATGTTGCTTGTACTGTCGAGCCCTCCGCAAGATCGTTGTAGTGGGCCTTGTCACTCAGGCTGTTTCATGTAACCTTAGACTTTGTTACGCACCCTGATATTTACAGCAAAGGCATGAAGAAATGGTGATCAACATGCTCTTCTGAGATATAGAGGAGGTTCAGTAATCCATGACGCCCAGCACCCGGTTGCAATTCTTGCAGATTGGCGTTCTTATTGGGAGTTGGCATCTGTACTATTTTGCAATCAATTTTACAAGTTATCCAAGTTCGTTGCCAGAAGTTGATTAGCGCATGTGGACATGACAAGGGACTGATCTAGCCAGAGTATCCGATATGACCTGTACATCCGGTACCAAGATTGCTCCAGCGCTGAACAACGGTGGTGCAATCCCTTTCCATGGGAGAATCATGCGATTGCAATATCCAAAAGGCACCACTGTTGCCTCTCACAATGAGGTTGTGAGCACCTGTGGCACTGTTGGGTTCCAGTTGTTCCAGCTACATCAAGAGAAGATGGCTCAAGGGCACCAACTACCTCTCAGGATGCAGTCAGAGCGTGTAGACTGGGCTGTTTGATATAGACTGCTTGGATTCTTGACGTGTGAATTTCCGCTGCAGGCCTACAGCTGTCCGTCGGGCCGCTGTGCGCCGCCTTGTCGGGCCGCTACATGCTGCGGTTGTATCGGTTGTAACATCCTTCAAACATCCTTCCAACATATGTCCAGAAGAGGCATAATAGAACCACTAAGAAAAGGCCAGTACAGGAAAGTTATATTACTGTACAATTCAAGAATGGTCCAAAACAATAAAAGCGTGACTGCGTGACATAATTCTTTCATCTAAACAAGAGGACACTGGTTTCGGAAGCTGGTTCTGTAAGTAAAGGGACCTAGCGATCCGACGGAGAGTGTGCAGAGAGCACCAGCAGAGACCCAAAGAGACCTTCTCAGGTTCGGTACGACTGGACCCTCCAGGCCTACATAAAC